AACACTTCATTTGCCAGCTGAGTTATATTCACACCAGATGAATACAAATTTCCGTTTCAGGATGTCCTTGATGCCTTGGTCACTAAATATGCAGGGCTGCAGGGACACTGATCAGGCAGCCAGAATGGTTATATTCACGTCTTTACAGTTAAAAGCCCGCCTTGTCATCTGGCACACGTTTTTAAACTAGTAATACAACTCAGAATTTTAGATCATCTTTTCCACTTGACATTCTCCATACCTTTCATATTATTTAACCTATTTTCATGTCATAGCAACCATCATGTCAAACTATGGGATCTTTATAGGTATTTTTATTTTGCAATCTTACTTTCAAAAATTTCTATTAATTATAGAATTCTAAAGAAAGAATCATTCTGAGAAGTGAGAGGATTCAGAACTCAACCAACTCAGAAATACTTTTATTTCAGTAGAGAACATGTATCTCTTGAATCTCCCAATTCTCTGCGTTTGAATCAAACCAACTTTTACACAGTGAAATTTGTTTCAATAAATGGTTTAAAATTTTTTGTCCTATAAACAAGGTGCTTCATAATTGAGGATTATAAAAAATTATACTGAAGAATGTAAACATTTCAAAATTCAAAGATTTTTGACAACTCTGGCCGCTTTCATTCACATGTGCCTTCAGCTTTCTCATGATGAAAATACTATCAACCTTTTTTCCTTCATCCTTTAAGCTTAATGCAGTTATTAAACACTTGGGGTGGCTACCAATGATTTCAAAATAGTATAAAAGACACTTTATAATTTAAAGAAAAAAGCTTTTGCTACACTATATTCTGCAGTATAGATTCTTAGTATAGGCAATTATCTCTGACTTGTGCCAAATTCTTAGGAACAATAAACACACATGCACACACAACACACACTCTCTCTCAGTTACACACATAAGACCAGAGGTTACTTGCACAAACTGTGAAACCAACAAAATGTGGGGTGGATATAGATCGCAGGCTCAGTGATACTGCAGTTCTGAAGGCCAAGATTCTTCTCCCAAGGCCCAGCTCAAGATAATCTTTTCAGCATTTATAACTGAAGTTAGCTGAAGACCTTTCTATACTTGATTGTAAAACTTATGAATAGGTTTTTTCCTGTGCCATTAGTCATGCAAATGATAAATACTTCACGGCTGTAAAAACCAAATATGTCAGAGTTGAGCACCTTTTCAAAACAAAATATTCACTCCAGCTTTATTTGATACTTCAGTAATCCGGGCTAAATTGTTCTAAGAAAACCTTTATATAATTCTCCAGGAAAAATTAAAGATAAAAGGCTTTTGTCCTTTACCTTCCACTCTATAATTTATGTTCTATTTTTAAGCTCAATTATTTCACATGGTTATTCCATTTTTAAATGCCTGCAATAAAGCTCTGCTCACAGCAAACTTGATTTTGAAAGCAGGTTAGCTACTGGTCACACTACAACCATAGCCCTTAGAGGCGAGAAGGAATTTGCTGCTTTAACGAACTTAAAAATGCCAGATATTCGTATTGTCCTGTGAGGTTTCTGCAAACGGGAACATGTGGATGCAACATGGCTCCATTTTCCTTACATGATGGTACTAGTGTATCTATTAGAATGCTTCTCGTTAGTAAGGCTGGGCACTCTCTTCCCATCACAGTTGCTTCCCTCTTGTTCAGTAAAGTTATAAAGACCACCCCTGTTAGTTAAAGGTGTGGGTCTGGAGTTTACTTCTGATCAAAACCTTGTGAAAGCCTCCATTTTCTGTGGCAAAGCAGGCTGATTTTAACAAATTCTAAAGCTAGACTGTATTTTTACATAACCTGTTCTGACTTTTGCTCTATCAAGGATTGAAGCATGAGTTAGTTCCATGTCACAAATTAGAATAACAGCTACAATTAAGCATCAATTTTGAAAAACAGCAATGTATTAGCTGAGCAAAGAATCTCTCCCTGTAATGCTGTGGCAAGTCAACTGTCTTATCTTACTTGATACATTGTTTAGAAGCTCTATCCCATTTCCTGAAATTCAGTACTCTTGTGGGAAATATTTCTCCTTACTTATTTTTTTAAAGAAGACAAATATTTTAATTGTAAGTGGTCATAGGAATCTTCTGGTTTCTCCCTTATGGTTATTTTTAATATACAATAATTGCTTCTGTCAACTCAGCGACAATGCCATCATAGCTTTCAAATGAGAGTCACCCTGTAGATCCGATGGACTATGCCTTAAAGTTGCAGATGCAGAAAGGAGACTGAGGACAATAGTGAAAACTGTAGTAACTGAACCCAAATGTTACTCAGAGATATCAACTGACAATCACTGCTCAATTCTGAATAAGGGCTGCAGTTCTCTGTAGATTAACACCACCACCTCCTGTGTGTCCTGCAGAGGAGTAGGTGAGTTTTCTATCACCTACAACATTGGCTAATCCCATCCAGGACAGCCATATTTGGATGCTACTGATGTTACATGCCGAACAGCATGGGTCATCTTTGTCAGGCTGAGCAGCATAGTTCATCTGCCTCACAATTTCTGCTAAGAGTTGGTCCACCACTATTTTACTCTTAGCAGAAGTCTCCATAAAGGGGCAGCCCATTCTTCAGCAAGAGCTCTGCCTTCATTGGACGATACTTCTCTCTCACTTTCCAGGTCCACTTTGTTCCCAACCAAGATGACTGGCACTTTCTCATACAGCCTTCACGCGGACTGATCTGGTCCCGCATGGGCTTGATGTCCTGGAAGCTCTGCTGGTTGACCAGGCTGTAGATGAGGATGAAGCCCTGGCCGTTCCTGATGTACAGGTCCCGCTATGGACGCGAACTGCTCGGTGCCCGCCGGTCCAGGATCTCAGCACGACGGCGACGAGTCCACCTCGATCTCCTTGTGGTAGAAGTCCTCAACGTGGGGGTCGTATTTCTCGATGAAGGTGCAGTCACGAAACTGCACGGTCAGGGTGGATTTGCCTACCCCGCCGAGCCCAGCACCACCACTTTGTCCTCGATCATCGTCCCCTCTGCTGCCGCTGCCGCCGCCCGCGACATAGACCTACGCCGGCCACGCTGCGCCCCCAGTCCCGGCCCCCGGCGGCCCCCTGGGAGGTGGCGGGTGGCCGGCGGCGGCGGCGGCAGCTGAGGGACAGAGGCCCCTAGGCATGGGCAGAGCAGGCGACGATGCGGCCTCGTGGGTGCCAGCTGGGACTGAGCGGCGAGCTAGAAGCGGGAGCGGGAGCGCTGGAGCCGGCCGAGCCAAGGGCCGCAGTCCTGTCTTCTTATATCTTAAAAGAGATAGTCTCTAAAATCTTTTTACAAAGTTGTCTTGACTATCTTGGCATGAAATAGCTGGAGATTAAAGGGAGAAATGTCAAGGCCCTGGGAGGAATAAAAACAGAAAAGAAAGAAACTAACCAGAATTAGATCTTTGTTACATGAGGAGCCAAAACCAGAAAGCTTTATACAAGGTTTTGTGTCTCAGCAGGCAGTATTGCCCTTATACCATAGAAGGCCATTGCAATCACTTGGTATCAGTAACAAGTGCATTATGCCCGAACACCTAGGACCTGTTCTTCTAGACTTTAGATGTGAGTTCTTCTCACAAATCTCAAATGCATGTTCATTCTGAACACTGGCTGGTTTTTTGACCCTTTTGCTGAACTGAAAGGGTTATGTAGCTATAGTAAGACTGGAACTAGTTCCTGAACATCCCTCAGTGTCAGGGGAAGCAGCAATGGAGGAAGGGTTTACAGTGTGCCTACATAAACTGCTTATAAGTAATGTATAAAGAAATCAGGAACAAACTGGAGGCCTCTGGGGAAGAAGGCCTCTCTATGCCGCATGTTCCCAGGAACAGATGACTAAGCTCTGATATTCTAAACGTAGTGCCCAAGGACATAACACTCCCTTGAAGCGCTGGAGTGTAATCAGACATGTAAGCT